GAGTGCCCTCTCACATATCCAATGCCATATTGCAGTTTTAAGTACAGGGATCCAGAGTAGCTTTCGAATAATAGTCCTGAGAGCCAAACAGTTTTGGACTGCTGCTGGTTGGACAAAATAAGACCTGAATACAGGACTCAGGTTAAATTCAGAGACATCTCGCAGACAATTTTGCTTCTGTATTTTTAAAAACTTAACTATTGACAACAAGCCTTAAGTCCAGAGGGTCACATTAGCTAAACTTTAATTTTTTTCCTTCAGCTTAGTGTATCATGATTTACTTTTACAGCATGGAAAGATTTTATGAAATGTTGGAGAATGTATATGTTTGAAATAAAAATGAACTGAACTTTTCTAGTGAGCTGTGTTGATGCATTTAGTTTCACAGACCCTTTTTCATCCAAAACTGGCTCCCCTCACTTGGTACTAGAAAGGTTCTTTGGGTTTTGGTGGTACGTGTAGATTCCCTGGCTGCATGTTTCTCAGACTGCAGTAGGCTGAGATGTTAAGGTTTAAAAAGGCCTGTGAGCTGTCTGGTATGCACTCAGGGAGGGGTATGAGGCAGAGCTGTCCTCTGACGTCAGCACAGTTCACTGCTAAGGCGGAGGAGGGTGACCCAGAGAGTCAGCCACAGCCAGGAATGCAACTTGAAAAATAAAGATAATAAAGATGAAGGGGAAGGGGAAGGGGAAGGAAGAGGCAAATTGGTGAATAGATTTTGACAGCAGGCACTTGATTGCATGAACTCCTCTGGCATACCGTTTTAAGAGGGTGTGACCAAACCCCACTGTGGTGGCTCAGGCACATGGACCTGAGCTGCCCAAATTAGGAAACTGTATTAGAGGTTTCTTGAACATGACATTTACCATTTCTGAGCACGAACATGTCGAAAAGCCAGTGTATGGATGGGCTGTGGTGTGAGTGAAACCAAACAGCTGTTTGAGACCATGTCACTACTCCTTAACACTGTGTAGTCATTTGGCTCTAATGTCATTGTGAAGGACCAAGCTGGCAGGTTAGCAACAACTGAATTTTCAGGGGAAAAGATGAGGAGTAGTAAAGTAGCATTTTTCTCAGGCAGATTAAAAAAAATGCTAAAATTTAAGCCTAAACTCAAGATTAACTGATGTATTTGAGCACCTCTTTCTGTATGCCCCGAGTTCACCCAAGTTTAATGTTATAGGTTTAGCTTTTAACTATAAATTGTCTTCTTGCCAGAGGGGGGGGAAAGGATCATTCACTGGGTTACTTTTGTTATGGCATAGATCTTCTCTCTCTGCTCGTTACCTATTTCTCTTCGCTGTAAGTGTAGAATTTGGTGAAAGTTTAGTTCTTTGCATGGGTAAAACAAATGCTGCAAAACACTACCTGTGCTTCCCATCATACCATGTGATGTCAGCAAACACATAACTGACCAGGCAAGCACCTAATGATGTGTAAGTTAATCATGGAGGGCAAGTGAAATGTGTGGTGGTTATGGAGAAGACATTTAGAAGGCAAACGTTGATACTGAGTTACAAACTGTGTTGATTTTAAAGAATCTCCACAATGTGTCAGCTGTCATGTTCTCACGTGGTTTGCTCTTTATATTCCCCATGAATATTCACGCAAAAGAACGGAGCACATCACTACCTGTGGCTGCCACGGCTGTTACACGTGTTAAGCAATAGGTTGGACAGAGTGTTTTGTGCAATAAATTACATCTGCATGCATCACTGTTACTGGGTAACTCACTTTAGAGCCTGAGTGTGAGCTGAACATTTAGGATACATACTGACTTTTAACATGTTTTCAAATGTTCTAAACCTCTTCTGTGTGTGTGTGTGTGTGTGTGTAAACCTAATGAGTAATTTATTTTGAGCTGAGTAATTGACCGGAATCACAAACTATGCGGATACAGGCAGGCCTGTTGTTGGGTCTCTGTCACGGCTGTCGGATGCAGCAGTGTTAGTATGCAGGGCGTGGGCTGGTGGAGGTGACACTTAATCTGCGAATCGCCTCCTTTTCCCTGTGAGATGCAGCTGCTGC